AAAACCTTGCTTTCCAGTCAGCTGGAAAGCTGTTATCCCTATTTTCAATAATTCTGTAAGGCAATGTGACTCGTCTCACTACCGTCCCGTTAGTCTTCTTCATATCATAACAAAGGTTTTTGAGTCTTCAATTAACAAAAACTTAATCTTTCATCTTGAACCTTATAACTTACTAATCGTTAACATGGATTTCTATCTTCTTGTTCTACTGGGGAACGACTAAGGCTATCGCTCTCCACATTTCTAAAGCCTTTGATAAAGTAAGGCATGTTAGTCTTTTCCATAAGTTCTCTTTTTAGGTGTATTAGGCAATATCTTTAAGATTATTGAATCCTTTTTTACCAACCGTAACATAAAAGTTGTTCTTGACAGACAGCACTCTTCTTCATTTCCTGTAACTTTAGGGGTTCCTCAAAGTTTTATCCTTGGCCCTTTACTTTTTTAATTTATATTAACAATCACTCTAACTTCCGATCTATCTTGGAAACCGAATATTGAATTCATTGCAAAATTAGCATATGCTAAGGCTGTATCTCTTTTTCGTGGTTTCCTCAAATCCATCCTTGTATAAAAGTGGATCTTTGAAAGAAACCCTTTCTCTTTTAGATAAGATGCAAAAACACATTGTAAACATAGTTGGACCTGCTCTTGCAGCCAATATTTAACTATCGCCACATCGTTGTTATGTTGCTTCTCTTTCTCTTTTCTATAAATACTATAATGGACGCTGCTCTAAAGAGCAAGCGTCTCTTGTGTCATTAACTAAATTTTATTTTTGTGTTACTCGTCATTCAATTACGTGTTATTCTTTTACTGCAACTGTTTTTAAGTGCTCTAAAATCTTTATTAGTCTTGTTTGTCTATGCTTTTTTGTATTCGTCTATGTTTTTTCCTCAAACATTAGGTCTTTAAAATTTGCTCTCTTCTTATTTTTCTAATTCATATAATTTGCAATCATTTAAGTCGTCTGTTAATTGTCATCTTGCTTTATAAGTTTCATCTTTTCTCTTCTAGTAACTTCCAACTAAAATAGTGTTTGTTTGCAGCCTTTTTGGAAATAATGTTAAAAAAAAAACAATAAACTAATTTACTCTGATGCATTTTAATGACAAAAAGTATAAAAAAAACTCCAAAAATGAGATTTTTGTCAACTATTGTAGCAATTTGGCCAGTACTATATCTATGAATATTTAATCCTAGGTGGGGAAAATCTGAAAGTTTTACTATAACGAGCTGTTTCTAAGGCAAAATGTGACGTTGAATTTAAATCTGAAAGATTTTTTGGCATACGACAGCAATTTTGATTTGAACTTTCCTTTTTTTTTTTTTTAATTGGCTCCTAAAAATTGTTGAAAAAATATTTTTCCAATACTTGACCATTAAGGTGTCTATGTGGCCAACAGTACGTTCAGTCTTGTATGATTCTTTTTTGTTCAGTCTTGTATAAATAATCTACTAATGTGATCGAATGAAGTGTCTACGTGACCAGCAGCATGTTTATTATCCCAAAAAACGCTTATTGATTTTTCATTTGAGGTCTAGACGTACATTAATCCAAGATGCCAAAAAAACACGTATAGGTCAATCAAAACTATAAGCAGGGGTGTGGAGTCGTAAAAAAAAAGTAAAGACTCCGACTCCGACTCCAGTTGTTGAAATTTTTTGAGTACAACTCCGACTCCGACTCCAACTCCGACTCCTACTCCAACTCCAAAGTAAAATTTTTGAAAAATTCTTTGAACTCTTTAAAAAATATTGCGGAATAAATTGAATTTTTTTTTTTGACAAATTTATGCAACGTTCTTTGAGGTTTAGTATGAACATAAGGTTAATTGAATGTTTTGTACATGCACGTGCAATACCAAAAAAATTTTGCTATCGGAGTCGGGGTCGCAATATTTTTTAACGACTCCGACTCCGACTCCGGTAAAATTGTCGCAACTCCGCAACTCCGACTCCACAGCCCTGACTATAAGCGATACTGTAACTTGCAAAATTGCGGGGATTGTGTCCCAAAAAAAATACAATTTGTAAATCGACAGTTTCACGTAAATTGAAAAAACAGGTGAAGGAAAACGAGGAAAGACATTAGTCAAATGAGAAAAAGTAGAAGGCTATGGGGACTAGTAAACAGGAGAACGCATGCAAAAGTCTGTAAATCAGTGAACACGGATGATACATAATGAACAAACTCGGAAAACCCTGAAGACCAAGATCAAAAATTTGTTGCCGCACTTCCAAAATATACCAGAAACACCGTCTTCAATTTTGAGAAACAACCCAACTAGTCCTGGAGACATGTTCCTAAAGATTCTAGCAAGAACTAGTTTTAAATGTTTGGACGAACTTATAATAAGATGCACAATCCAGTGTTTATGAGACCACGAAGTCAGTTGTAGTGACGTAGTTGGTATTATCGTAAAAACTGCTTACGTCATCTTTGCTCAGAAATGAACAATCAGTTCAAATCGGCTAGATGAAGTATTGAGTGATTTTGAGTCAGGCTCAAATGAACCGAAAAAGATCACAGCCGCTAACAACTTGACGTCACTCTTTTAAAGATCTCACGTTTATAGATAAATATTCTAGATAGATATCCACGACTATAGATAGATATTTAGAAGACGCATCTACCTCATTCTCCAAATCCAACTGTATCAACTTCACTAGTGTTTTTATTTAGAAGATAAGTTGCCGCCCTTAGGCGACTGAGGCTACCAGCTACAAGCTGTACGATATCAAAGCGGAACATATCACAATCATTAATACAGAAAGAAAGCGAAAAACATTGATCGCGGGCTTTATTGAGAATCTTTCTCATTCAGGCTCTGAGGGTGGGGTAGCCTATAAATTTAAGATGAAGTGTCTTGCGGTGTTGGTAGACTCAACTGTGGATTGAGTGAAAGAAGGTGCTATAGGTTTTTAGATATCATAACGTTTCGGATATTGTAGTATATTGTTTAAAAATCTCAAAGTTAAGGACAAAAAAATTTTAAAATGTTGTGCGCATTTAATACAAGGCATTGATCATGCTATTATTAAGGTATTTCGTGACACAGAGAAAAGAATAGGAGTTCAGAAACTGCTGAACATATCAGCTGGACAAAAAGTATTCATGTTTCTGTCAATATAGACTCTTGGACAAAAAGTATTCACGACTCCGGGACAAAAAATGGTTAGACGAAAAGTATTCACGACTACATCAAAAGAATTCACGTCTCCGTGAAGTATTCACGACTCAATATAGACTCTTGGACAGTATTCTCCAAAAAATATTCACGACTCCGACAAAAAGTATTCACGTTTCTGTCAATATAAACTCTTGGACAAAAAGTATTTTAGACTCCAGGACAAAAAATGGCTGGAAAAAAGTATTCACGACTCCGTCAATACAGACTGAAATAATTGTCATAGCCAAGTTGAGTGACTTGGCTATGGAATTTGTCTAAGTCCTCAATAAGTCATGCTTGTCTTTCCGGATCCTTATACACAGAATATGAAGGCTGGATGGATTTTCAAAATATTGAACATTGCAGATTTAGCGGTTTTGTTTCTAATTGCTTTAAGAACATTGTTGAAATAGCGAACGAGTTTGTAACCAGGAGACAAGACTTTTTTGATGCAACTCTGAAAAAAATGTGGGAAAATAATTTACAAACAATTCTTGAACAAACTTGTACTAGTCGTATTAGTTTTATACAGAGCGAATGGTTTATTTTCTTTTCAGAAGTGTATGCTAAAGAAGGTGAGATGTATATTTTTCCTTCAATAGAATAACTTGGAATTAACATGAATAGAATTAACTGAGAACTACTAGACATGATTCAAACTAAAATAGTGTGCGGGAGGTTTTCAAAACAAATTATCACAACTGGAAGCAATGCTGACTAAATGAGTTATGGGGCAACTGTCTCATAACTCCAAAAACTGTTGATATATTGGACTCGCTTAACGAGAAACAGCTGATCAATGAAATTTTGTACATACATCTGATGTTAGCACTTAAAATCAAACAGCGACGGCAAATGAAACTTAATTCTAAAAAACTCAAAATGATGAATTTCCAATCGGCGAACTAAGATATTCCATTCATAACGCAATAAAAACAGAAAATAAAATTTCAAAAAGTACATCACTCAGTTCAGTCCTGTGAAGAGTGATGATATTTAAGTGTTTATTCATGTGATTGATAAGATTGATTATTAAAGTTGCCCAAGTTTATGATTTTTATATGCAGAATTCTTAGTTTATATTGTTTTGTGAGTCAGATTACAAATTATTGATTAAATATTGTATTGTCACCTCATAATTTTTAACAGAAAAAAGATTTGATTATTATGTTATCGGGTTTGTGATACTTTGTAAGCATGAAATGGCTGCAGATTTGAGCAAGCTCGAAATCCTATAAAAAAGATATTGGAGGCCATGTTGTGGCTTCAGTACTTGAAGTTTAAGGCTGTGACTATTTTTAGCCGCTATCTTGAAAAAATGCACTTTTCTCATCTAAACTGTTATGCTAGCCGCAATTTCTTTCCAGAATTAAATTCTGCGTCAAATTTCGTCTCAGATATCACTCGCGGACTTGAACTTTTAAAAAAAAAAATTTATAATTTGTAATACTCTATTATCTGTGGCACTCGTGGTTTTTTGTTTTACCCAAACCCAAAACAAATAACTTGCCATTTGGTTTTTGCTTAAACAATCTTTTTACCCTTTTAATCAATCTTTATATATATATATATATATATATATATATATATATATATATATATATATATATATATATATATATATATACATATATATATATATATATATATATACTCACATGTATGAATTTATATATTTAGTATATTGCAGCTATATATATATATATACATTTATATATATATATATATATATATATATATATATATATATATATATATATATATATATATATATATATATATATATATATCTTACTGTATATTTAATACTGTATGTTTCATATATTATAGCTGCACAACTTAGTTGTACGGGTGATGTCGCAGAAATAAAAATGGAAGAATTGTATGCATTTCCAAATAAAAAAAAGTTTAAATTCAAGTATAGATTGCACAAAAATAGAGGTCAATGGAAAGGTTACGATACAGTCAATTCTGTAATTCCTGGTACTTATAAGGAGCACAATCTTAAAGCCGATTCCTGTGAAAAAAGTCTTTATGCAAACACATTCAACACTTCTCCAAAAGCGATTCATTCATCACCAATACTTGGGGAAGATGTCCCTTTTAAAAGAATTGTGGGGAGAAGTTCCTTTACACCGAAACGTTTTCCATTCCCTAAAGATGGCATCCCAATAAACGAAGAAACTTTAAAAGAATCAAAAAAGAACTTTGATTTTGATCAAGAACTTCTGGAATCAGAAGGAAATATTAAAGAAGATCAATTGAAAAATAATTTTAATGTAGAAAGTAAAAATTGTTTACAAAATGGAAACAATACCCCTGGAGCTAGTGTACAAAATGAAAATGTGTCATTTTTTAAACCCGGATCAAGTGTGCGAATTAAACAACAACGTACAACTCGGCGAAACGGTAACGAAGGTAAAAATAATCTATCTATGCGTGAACTCGTTCATGAAGATGTTTCTATTACGCCACTAATTACTAAACGAATTTCACCAGACTTAAATGATTCTAGGGTAAACTCGGATGAAGCTAACAACAGCTTCAAGAAAAAATCTCCAGCTGTTCCGAAGCGAACATCATCTATAAAAAATGTAAAACAAATTAATGAAAACGTATTTAAAAATTCTCCAAAAATAGAGCAAAAAACCAATGGAATTGAAATGAGCGATTTAATGAAAGTTGAAATCTCCTTTCAAAACAGTTCCGAAGTGGAAATTAAAGCGGATATTAATGAGATTATTACTAAAGCAGAAGTTGAACCCCTTTTTGAACCGGAATATAAAAAAAGTACAAACAATCACGACACAGATAAATCTTTTATAAAAGACGATTAAACAGGAAACAAGCCAAAAAACTATTTACAATATATAATATTGCTTTTAAATAATCAAATTTATATTAGCGCATATTTGCTTTAAGCTCGATTGTACATTTGCGTGGTTTTTAAACGTATTTGCACGTAGCCATAAAAAGAAAAAAATATAAAAAAAAAAGAAAAAAAAAAGAAACAGAGCTTTGCTTGTATATTTATGTAATGAAGTAAATAAACATTAAATTTGCCTTATTAGCCAACATTGTATTACTATAAATTATAATATAGTGTTGGTGTTTTAAAATAATTATTTTGAAAATTGAAAGTATCTTGTTTATTTACTCTAATATGTTAATTAATAATGATTAACGTCTGTAAATGACCCTGTTAAATGGATCATAGCCAATTGCATCCAGCACGTTAGTTAAAAGAATTGAAATTTAAAAAAAAAGAAAGTGTTTTCTGTAATTCGAGCATAAACAGCAAACAGCTAGTATGCATCCAGCACGTTAGTTAAAAGAATTGAAATTTAAAAAAACAGAAAGTGTTTTCTGTAATTAGAGCATAAACAGCAAACAGTTAGTATGCATCCAGCACGTTAGTTAGAATAATTGAAATTTAAAAAAAAAGAAAGTGTTTTCTGTAATTAGAGCATAAACAGCAAACAGCTAGTATGCTGTTATAGCTTTTATTTCAAGACTTACCTTAGTAAATTTATTTTTCTTTGTACTTGCATCCGTTAAGAATATTCTTATTTATTTTATTATCCGGTCACTTTTTTAGCTTCTTTTTCTTACTTTACTTGAGCAGACAGCTTGCCTAATATTTTGGTGTATTTACCGGTTTTTACATCCATTTAAAACAAATATGACATTCATTTTAAACATCGTGACAATCAATTAAAACAATGTGCTTTTCAATTAAAACATTTAACGCATGCGCAATCTCAACATTCTATATTTAAAAGAAAAGGTTTTCTTTATATATTTATTTGTCTAATATTATATAAATTTATTTTTTATTAATATTATATTCATTTATTTTAATTTAATGGAATTTATTTTAAATTTAAATGGATGTCATGTTTGTTTCAAATGGATGCAAAATTATATTTTTTACATATTTTTTATACACATACTGTATTGGCAAAACAAAACTGACTTTTTTCATACCTTTTTAAAACTGGCTCTTTTATACACACTCTCCCCTAATAACTTAAAGCTGAACTTTCTCATCTTGCTAATTCCTATATGTATAAACATAGCCTATCTAAAAAAACTCTAAAAAAGCATGTAATTCTGAAAAATTTATGTAAAAAAATCCAGATATTGTTATTTTAAAACCAGATAAAAAAAAATGGGTGGTTATTCTAGATAAAAAAATTTATGACAACGTACAGTGAGTCAGAAAGGTGAAAAAACGGCAAAAATTATATAACTGTCATATATAAGCATGTGATACATCAATACTATCGCATTTTTGGTCAAAAAATTTAAATTTGCTATTAAAAATAGTTTTTACGTGTACCTATAACGCGAAAAACGCGTGCTTACGAGTGTAAGTGTCAATTACGCGAAAAAAGTTTAATTTAAATAAAAAAATCGGAATACTTGATCCAAAATACGACATTATTTTAATATAAATTTTACCTGTTTAAGGCTCGTATTACACATGTGTAAACATGTTAGAGTCTTTTACGCACACAAAGAATGATTTAATTTAAAAAGATTATATTCTTCAAACCAAAACATTTACTGATTAAAAAAAAAATATTGGATTCAAAAAATCAAAATACAACTAAATATTATAATAATATTAAAATATATTCAATACAAAATAAATATTTATCTAATTTTTCTTTCGAAAAATTAAAAAATAAAACCTTGTTTTAATAAAATAGCTTTATTTCAATATTACGGCATTAACAAAGATAAAACTTCAGGGGTAAGGGTTTTTCCATTTTTAAACTTATTTGAAAAAATGTTTGATATAATAGGATTACTTCTAATCAAAAAGTATTGGTACTGGTTTTTCATAACATTCTTTCTAGATATCTGTATGTTTCAATCTAGCTTTGCAAATTTTCTTATTCAGAACCTCTAGTGACTCTTCAGAGTAGTAACCAATTTACAGTTCTAATGCCTCAGATATATGCACACAATTTTCAAGAGTTTATGAACAGTTTGGGGAGTCACACACCAGTAATAGTTTTTAAGTATAAAGGCTGCAGTTTCATAGCAATACTGTCCAAAACTTTCAGAGTTCAACTCATTACAGGAGCTTACTGATACTAAGATTGTCATCAATCTAATAACTTCATCTTTTTCTACTCATGTTACATCAGCAAAATTTTCAGCATTTTCAAATGTCCTTCTGGTGGTGTTCCAATCGTTAGTGTTGCCAAAACCTGTTTGGGCATATCAATCTTAAAATATAGCTTCTCCCTAAACCTCAGTTGAAGTAATTTTTTTTATTTTTTACCAATGCTTTTTCAGCAAAGGTATTTGGTAAAGTATTTTTATAATGTATAACTTTTATTCTAAAGGTAAAAATTATTTAAAAGATCTGAGCCAGCAGTGCAGAGTAAATAGACCCAAAGATAAAGCTTTTTCATCAATTGGTTTGAATCTGATCAATGCTGTGTTATCAGCAAACATTATATGATTGGGAGAACAGAGTATTAATAAGGGCATTAACCACTTTACCATCAAATGTGGTTAAACATAGTTTGATCTTAAATGTGATAGTCGTGTCTGGTTTGCCTTCCTCTACTTCTAACTTACCTCAAACTTGACTAATCTATTCATTTTTCCTTTTAAAATTTCAAATTCATCTCTTATTAATTATTCCGTTTTAAAATATGCAATATGCCGTCAACTCTTGCATATTTCGATTTTCGAGGTTTGATAATTAGCACCATCTGCTTGAGTATTTTTGCTAATAGGAACTAAAGGTATTACTTTTGTGATGAATGTAAGCAATGAACTATTGTTCGCTACTTTATACACTAGTTTTAATTAAAAACGGAAAAAAAACATAAAAAATACGAAGTAATTAAAAGGTCTTATTTCAATTGGGGCAAATTGGAGCAAATGATTTTTATTTTTTCTGCTTTCATATATACCCATCAATGGAAAAATATCAAAACTACCATGGAATCTAGTGGAATCTATTAGTTTTTGAACTAAACTCATAATTAAATCTCAGTAATGAGAATCAAAAATTAAAATTTATTGTCAAAAATGTTATTAATAGTTACTAAACATTTCAAACATATGACTTCAAATTAAGTTTTGAACTGTTTTTACCCATATCTATCTTAAAAGTGTGACACTAAAGCGGGACTTTTGTGAGCGAGTTTTCCGAGAAATAAAATTAAAAAAATAAGTCTTGGAAAAAGGCGAATAAATTGTTGAAATCTTAATAATTAATCACAAAAAAATTAATTATTGTCTTTAAATGGTATTTAGTTACATTATAACTTAATTAATTATTTTCTAGCAAGAGTTTTTTATGGGTTTTTTTTTGCCATTTTTTATGGATTTTGACTCACTGTGCAACGATCTCTACTAAATCATTAATGATCCATCCAAATTTAAAAAACTTAAAAAAGATATTATCATAACCAGAACAACACAACTTCAAAAATTTTTAAGAAAACTCAAGAAAAAAAGTTTTTTTGATGAATATAATAAAATATATCCTTCAAGCTCTTGTCTAGACCGCATCTATGGTCTTCCAAAATTACATAAGATGATTTCTTTTGACGGTAATATAAGTTTCAGACCTATCGCATCATCCATTGGTAATTATAATTATGAATTAGCTCTCCACAATTGGTAATTATAATTATGAATTAGCTCTCCACAAATACCTTTGGAATTCTGCACTAAAGATCTTTCACTTTTTTTTAGGATTAAGGGGTATACTCCCCCAGAAATTTTTAAAAAATCAAAAAAAAAAAAAAAAAAAATACTGATTTAAACAATTAAATATATGGGGGTTTCAGAAATGTTAATTGTTTTCCCTAAAAATATCTCTAAACACCAAAGTTTTTTGTTTTTGAGAGTTAGGTACAAAAAAGAGAAAATTTTTTACCCCTTAAAAAAATCACTTGTAAACCAAAACAACTTATTGATTTCACAAGTTAAAAGCATTTTTCGCTTCTTGTTAGACTTGTTAGCACTTTATTTTTGGTATATGAAGACAAAGTTCGTTTTGTTGTTTTGAAGCTTATTTTTTGTCCCAGAAATTTTAAATTTTTTAGTTTTCAGACATGGTTAAGGCTGATCGAATTAAAGTTAGAACTAAGCGAGCAGGCAAAAGAAAGAAAATTTTTAATAGAAAAGTGATAAGTAGCAGTGTGAGTGTAGATAATGTAAATTTTCCTTCTTTAAGTGTAAATATCGAATCACCTGTAAATAGTCAAACTGATATCTTCGATACGCCAAGCTCTTCTCTTCGCAAAGTTGAAGCAGTCATTAGCTCAACTCCACAAAAATATACCAATACTAAAAACAAAGTTCTGACAGGATATAGAATTATTGATTGTTCAATTTTGTCTGATGTTATTAGCGTTTTGAGCTGTCCGACTTGTTTCCATACAACTTTAGCAATCATTGAAAACAAAAGCAAAAAGCAAGGACTTGCATGTGAACTTTCTATTATTTGTTTAAAGTGTAAATATCAAAATAAATTTTACACTTCTAAGTTAGTTAATAAGAAAGGAAACTTTGATATAAACAATTGAACAGTATATACAATGAGGACTCTTGGATTAGGACATTCCGGAATTGAAAGGTTTACAACCCTCATGAACATGTTAAAACCAATGACGCCAACAAATGACAAACTTGTTTTAAAAATTACTAATATTATAGAGGAAGCTGCACAGGAAACAATGACTGATGCTGTATCTGATTTAAGACTACAGTGTCAAGACAATAATGAGATTCTTGATGTTGGTGTATCATGTGATGGCACGTGGCAACGTAGGGGATTTTCATCATTGAATGGTGTATTTGCAGCACTTTCAATGGACAGTGGGAAAGTTTTAGATGTTGAGGTGATGAGTCGAGTATGCAGAGGGTGCTCCTTAAATCAAAAACTTTCTGAAAAAAATCCTAATGCATACGCCGAGCGGAGAAATTCCCACATTTGTAAAATGAATTATGTAGATTCTGCAGGTGGAATGGAGTGCGAAGGAGCCAGTCGTATTTTCCAGCGATCGATTAAAAAGCATAAGTTGCAGTACATTAACTTTTTAGGTGATGGAGGTAGCAAAAGTTACAATAGTGTCAAGGATGTTTATCCTAATATTAAAGT